CACACAAAAGATCTTTAAACCACTTCAGAAACATGAGTGCCTTTCAAGGGGTGACAGGAGGTGGGGGGTAAACGGTGGAAGTCTGCCGGAGGCCACAGAAGGCCCTGGGCGCAGAAACAGTCACCCCATAGGGCCAGGACGGCACCTGAGGACAGGGCCGTCCCCGCCTTGACACGTCCCCCGTTTAAGGCACAATCTGACTTCAAACAAACGACAACATAAATACTGTATCGGAAAGAACACAAACTGTTAGCAATTACTGGCTGAGTAAGGATTTCACAAGCCGGAAACTGAATGCACATCTTTGTGCAGAAAATAATCGTTTTCATGTCCCCGCCAAGTAAACGCACTGCAGACCTGAGCCTGGCCCACGCGTGCAGCGCTCCGGCTCCCGCCGCGGCCGCTCTGGACGTGCCGTTAACTGCCAGGACCTTGATCCGTAACTGGCTTTGGCCTGTGGCACACAATATGTCGTCTCCCGGTAATTTGTGATAATTTCTGTAATCGAGCAAAAGAAACCTCTAAAATGAAGGTGGGTCAGCCAAACATTCAGGCGCAGGACGTCAACCCTAAGAGCCCCCCCCAACCCCACCCCGGGACACCCGCGGGACGATGCTGGAAGGGGAGCCACGACGGACCAGCTTCGGTGTGTCTGTGCCCCAGGAAACCGTTTCGCCACGTGGACGCCTCGCGGCAACAGCGACAGTCACACTCGTGCAAGAACGCCTCACACGCGGAAACGTGTCTGTGAAACGAGTTTTCGTTGTCACGTAATTTCAATTAGAAGCGTACAAATCCCAATTTGTCTCAATCAAGTAACACGGCAATGCCTACCTCCTAATTGAAAAATAATTTCCTATTGCTCTTAACAACTTGACGTGTTTCTCCCGGTGAAGTTACGAATGTGAAACCATTTGGTCAGCCTATACCAGGAGTTTCTCAGGTAGGCTACCCCAGGACTAGTCTAATTACTATTAAACAAGCAAATGACACGCTATCAGACAAATATTAAAACAAGCATTGCGCTCAGTTATTAATTTGCACGATTCACTTTTAAATGCAGCAAATATCTCATTAATTTAATTTTAGGTGCCTACCCGTTTATATTGCATTTTACAGTCTAAAAGGCAATTTACTATTAACTGGCAATTACATACAGAGTGATTGTTAATTCTGCTCCTAAGTGCTAGCCGCTTGAAAATTGTTCTCTCTCTCTCATTTTTGACCTTCTTACAACAGGGGTGAGACGCACTGGGAATACAAAGGACCCGTGTGGAGGAGCCGGACAGGTCACTTGTGACTCCTTCTTTTAATTCACCATGCTAATCAAGTGAACTGCCACTACCTCCCAAGGTAATTCGGCCTTGATAGTGGTTCAAAGCAGCAGGCCAGAGGGCCCGGAAGGACGGACAGACGGACGGGCCCAGGGCAGGGGCAGCAGAGAGCACCCACACCCACTCTGGGTTGACTGATCGGGTCTGGTTCTGAAAAAATCTGGTGTTTCTCAGATCACTGTAAACAGATCATTTAGGCCTTTTGCGTCTGGCGGGCGGGGCCCCTCCTCCTCGGGCAGGTTCATTATCCCCGGGGCCTGGCTGCCTCGGCCGGGAAGGTTCACCGTGAGGGTGTCCCGGCAGCCTCCGGGACTGATAGGAGCCAGATGCCCAGGGGACGGCGCCCTCCCTGCAGGGGCTGCGCGCCCGTGTCCCGACGTCCAGAAGGGCTGGCTCGATTTTCAGGGGGGAGAGTGCAATTCCCAGTGATTACTTCATTGTCCCCATCAATTTCAGGGCAATGCAAATCAGACAGAAGCTTCCAGGTCAGACAGGTTATGACCCCACCTTTCCTCTGCTCCCTGAGAGTGTACGGGGCCCCATATCCCTTACACAGCGTTTGAAATGTATATTCCCGTTAATGAT